CCATGCAAATTAACCTATTAATGCAACAATACCCTAAATCCTTTTAGTAATAATCCTGCCGATAGTTCCCTCTTCAAGACTGATCCTTAAAACTATACCATTATTTCCGTAATATAAATGAGGGTAACTCACAGTAAGAGTATAATGGTTAGTGGTTTTAGAAAAATAAAAGTGCTAGACATCGAAGGTCACACTATAGAAGGGTGTTGTAGTGTAGTTGTTGATTAAATGTGCTACACGTCAAAGAGTTGTATATCGAGTGAATGGGCTAAGGTAGGGATTTAAAGGGTGATGATATCAAATATGTCAAAGGAAGAAGTTTCAGATTCTGTAAGGATTTTCGTAAGGTAAGACAGATATTGGTAAAAGGAGAAAGGGGGTTTAAGGCTGATTAGATCACAGTTTCAGGAGAAAAGTCAGGAGGAAGAGAATCCAGGAAAGAGGATTGTTGTGACAAAAAGTCACATGTATATCCAGGGGAAGCGGAAGTGATAATGGGGGAGGAAGGGGGGATGATGCAGATGAAACATGGGGAGGGGGGACGGGATGTGTTGTGAGGGAGTGGGAGGAAGGGTGTAGGGGGAACATGTATAGGAGGATGGATGTCAGTAGTTACTTTGAGTGTTAAGGGAATGGGAGCAGAGATTGGAGGATAGATGAGGTATAGTCCTGTTATCTTAGGTCATGATTAGATCGTTTTGAATGTCTTCGAGAGTTTCGGAAGTGGATTTGGTTTAGGTCTGAGAAACGAAGGTTTTCGTATGAAGGGGAGACGAGAGGTGTCTGAGGGATAGAGCAAGTGGTAGGTGAAGGAGAGGGTGTGGTAGATGGGGTGGAACGTTTAGATTGTCTGCTACGGGTAGAGCGAGGAGAGAAAGGGGTAGGTGTTGGGGCATGGTTCATGGCTAATAGCAGAGTAAATGTGCTAGATATCAGAGGTTGTATAGCACTATAGGAAAGTATATCATCGGAAAGGGTGGAGAGGAGGGTGAGTTAACGATTAGGTTCTATACGTCGACAGTCGTACATCAGTATTATGGCATTGGAAAGGGTAAAGATGGGTAAAGGTGGAGAAGATAAATTAATAGGTTAAGGTACGAATAAGCAAACGGGGGTGGGGGGGGGGGGCGGTTAGATCAAGTGAAGGATATATATGCGTCTGAGGAAAGAGAACAGGTTGTCAAAGTAGAAAGTATGGGATTCAGTGAGGATGTCTGAAAGATTGGGAGGTCGCTGCAGGAAGGATAGGTTAGGAAAAGCATAGGTAAGGGCTGCAGTAAAGCACGGGCAGAACAATAGAATGTGTGGAACTGAGAAAGAAACTTTACATGGTGTGCGTAAGACGGGTGTGGCCAACATGTAAACGGGCAAGAGGTGTCTTCCAGCGCCTGTTCTGATGAAATGGGGTTGGTCAGATCAGTAGCTTTACAGGCTGTAATTTATTGGGAGTGAAGACTTTGACCAGAAATATTACCATCGGGCGTAACGGAAGGTCTTAAAGTGGGGGTAGCCTAATAATCCGTGGCTGGAATGCGTGAGAAATGGGGTTTGTGTGGTGTGGACGTAGCGGCGGAGTGCTAGAGTATCTAGCTGCGCACCCAGTAAAACTTGACATTTGTGAGGTACAGACAGGTGTCGGGGCAATTGTAGATGTTGAGGTGTCTGGATTTAGAATTGCAAAAGAATTTGGTTGGGAGTGGATGCATAAAATGGCGGAGGAATAGATACAGTCAGGCCAAGTTTGAATCTGAGAGTTGCCACCCCATACTCAAACTTGCAGGTAGGGCAGCCCCTGTAAAATATATTATTGGAGCACCACAGTTGGCACACGGACTTGATTGTTTAGAGCAGTTTGACCGATTATGACCAGGTTGCATAGGCAAAAAAGAGGGCATCGGGCTGTGGAGCGACAGCGCTTGGCAGGGTGAGCCAGATGCCAACAATTTTGACATTGATGGGATAGAAGTTGATATGGTCGGACAGGGACAGATTGTCTGCCAAAACAAACATGTAGGGGGAGGTCATGTGTATTGTCAAGTAATCTTGGCAATATTGATGGATGATTTACGGCAGCCTCTAGGGGAATGATGTAGCATTGTACTGATACTGAATACGTTCACAAGGCAGGCGAGTAAATCTCAACAAGGAGACCAACCCTTGTAGTACACAGGGGAGTTTGTCGGGGAAATAGTATTGAGGGAAGAGTGAGGCTAGACAGGAGTGGGTTTGCCAGTAAAGTCAGTTAGAATTGATAGTGCTTCAGCTTGGTAGTCGGATGCAACTGTGACAATACGGATGCGGAAGGAAACTTTGCCTACTTGCTTTTGGGAGGCATTGTTGGAAGAGGAGTGTTCTCTCAGAGGAAGGAGCTCTAGAAGGGATCACCAAAAAACGATCCCATTTGGCTCGGCTAAACAGAGTACTTAAGAAATTTATAGAGGTGGGGGTAGTTGAAGGACGGGACCTTGTGGAAGAGGGAGTGACGTTGAGTGAAGTCGTACAGCGGAAAGATGGGTAACTAAGGCTGCAGTGTAGTAATATGGGAGGAGAGGAGAGTAGATGAAGTAGAGGATGTTGAGTAATGGCCCGGATGGATTTGGACTGGACTCAGGTGATAATTGGGATTGAATAGGGGGGTAGTTGTGTTCAGAGTCGTGGTCAAGGGAGAGCCTTGGGTCAGGAAATCGGGGGATTCAAATCAGTGGGGCTAGTTGATAAAGGGCCAACCCTCACCCTCAAGGCCCTAATTAGAGCACAAAATCTTCAGTACTGGTTTCAGTAGGGCTGGTATATGTTGAGGAGAGATATTGTCCACCCTTAGGTTTCCCTTCTCATGAGGTTCTCCAGACTGTTAAATAATTTTTGAATGTTTATAAACCAGCAAGGTACTTTGTTTCTTCTTGCAAAATAAACGTATTATTTAGACCGTGTCTTTCATTCCTTTTCCACAAGTATGGGCTTTCCACGCTATGGTATTGTTAGATCTGTTTAAATGATGCCTCTGTCATTAATTATCAATCCAATATGCTCTTTTTGGACCTACAATGACGGAACATGGCAGTTAACTATTATTACATTTCTGCAGATGATAAACTTTGATTTTTACACTCCCAAACTATCATACCTATGCTCTGTTTCTTTGACATTTCGGCAAATGAAATGGTTTTAAATTCTAAAAACTTCAATGTGTTGAACTATTCTTTTTGCAAAACTCTTGCTGTATTCATCAGTTAACTGTATCTGTCTGAACTGTTGGTATTAAATATGCGTATCAAAGCGGACTCGGAACTCTTGATAATAATTCGATTGTTTCTTTACATTGTAGCTTTTACATGAAAGCTTATTTTTTATTCACCTGCCAGCTCCTGCCCTGTCTCAGAATAGTAAAAATATATACATATATACATATTAGTGACAAAAAACTATGTATGCAAAGCTTAGTTTTTGCCAAGAAATATTTGTCCATAATCCATATAATTTTTGATAATGACTGTCTTTTCTGTGATGAAGGAAGTAATGAAAAACATCTCACTTTAAATGTTGTGTACATAGTGACAGTGGCATTGAATACAGACACTAATAATAAAACTTAACATATGCACTAATTTGACCAGACAGACTTAGGCTAGTCTATATGTCATGAGATAATGATTTTTCTTTCATATATTACAACAGGCCAGGCCAGAATTACAAATGATCAACAATTCAAAAAAGATAAGAACAATCATACACATGAAGCATACTCTGATATAAAATTTTATATGTTATCATTCTACATCTTCAATTTCCAAAAATAGATGTGCAGAGTTATATTTTCCACGAGTAAAGTATCTGGAGTAATTCTGACTCTAGCCGAACATTTGTACTTTTCTTCACATCACGCCTGTGTCACAGTACAATCAGCATTAAACAGTACACCATCAGCATCTTCTGTCACAGTACACTCAGCATTGAACACTATACTGTCAATACCTGTGCCACAATACACTAATTGGGGGAACAGCATCATCCCATTTCACAGCAGTCATCTGTGATTAATTCCTGTAAAAATCCACAGTATTAATTCAAGATGCCTGAGATACTGTCGCATATGTACTCTTGGTGATGCACAGTATACTATCACAGTACAGTCAGTGATGCAAAGTATACTGCATCTGTATGCATACCATCTTGAACAATGTAAGAATTTATCCTTTGATGAAAATAACATAGCATGTAATAATTAAAATGAAAAAGAAACCTATGTAAGTATTTCTCTCTATAAAATATTTTCTTAACTGAAGGGCTTCCACTTGTGAACCTTTTGTCATGAATTTACTCTAGAAAGAAAATAATGCGAGGGCAAGCTTATGCACCTCAAGTGAATCTATTTTGGTTTCCATCATGGGGAAAATATTACTAAACTGTAGTTCTTTTGGAGCTTAATTCATCCACAAATATCTTCTCTGTACATATTCTCTTTCTCGTAAGTCTGCTTAAATCCTTCTACTAAAACTAAATATACATTTTCATAACATAGAATAAACATTACTTGCATTACTTAGCATGTGAAACTGCAAAAGAAACTTTTATTAGATCCTCTTTTAAATTACTCTGAACTTCAATACAAAGTTAAGAATAATAAAACTTTCAATAAGTGTTAATTTTAAATAACAAGAACAGGGCTTGTATTTTTTACATAACCAACAGAAATATAGACTAACATGGGCACACCACAGGTGATTAACAGTCACATATATCATTACATTAACCTATCAACTGAATGAGAGAATAAGAAAATCACATTTAAATGAAAGAGACAGGCATACTTCATGATACCTATATTGGTCTGTTTTACACTTCAGTGCTGAAACAATAAAGGAAAAATACATACATACAAATATGTATCCATGTGTCTACATATAAGAGATTATGTGTGTGTTGGGGGGGGGAAGAGAGCACATGTATATAAATATACAATTACAAATATATATACATACTCACTTGTATATATATGTGTGTGTGTGTGTGTGTGTGTGTGTGTTGGGGGGGGGTTATGTTTACATAATGTATGTATGTATATGTGTCTGTATGTGTACATATGCACACACAAACACATACATGCCTCCAAACGAACTCAAATAAAGTAATATCATATACTCTATGCATGAAAATGACAAAATATAGACTTCTAGAGGCAAATTAACGAAATAAACTTTTGTTAAGAAAACTGCAGTGATATAATTCACCATTCACTGGGATTGGGATTCCTTTCCTGCCATCTTCAAAAACTTACGTTAAACAGTACACAAAAGATGTTCTAGTAAAACCGAGGAAACAGAAAATAGTATACCTGATAACTGAATTATATTCTGATTAGGGAGAAAAATCATAATAGAAAATTCAAAAGCAGTGCATGCAATTTCTGCAAATTAAAGGCCAATAACTCCTAATAACAAAGAATAACAAGTGTATTCTAAATAAACATTTCAAGGTACCAAATACCAATTTCCTTTCAGATGAAAAAAGTGATATCACTAAATTAGTGAATTAATAATGTACCATAAATATTGTTACTATTGCTATCATTACTACTATTCACATATTATTAATAAAAGTAATAACAGTCACAGTTATGAAAGTAAAAAAACAAGAAATTCTTCTAGTAAAAGATGAATAAAACTAAATGCTTGGCACATATAAAAACAAAATGCAGACTGGCATTACTGATGGTGCAAAAACACTATGTTCAGACCATTAGCACCAACTACTTTCAACAGTGCATAAATCTCAAAGAAAACAAATAAATACATGAAATTAAGACCTGCACAAAGTTTAAAAGCACTTACTATTCCAATACTTTCTTTGAATTATCCTTCTGGTAGCCACAAAATATTGTAAACTGAAAAATATCTTTCTTTGTCCTCACCAGAAGTCAAAATTAATGACAAAAATTCATTACTTGACACTGTCCTCTTTTAACCGTCGGGCTATGAAAACTTTTTTTCAGATCTGTTGTCAAGGAAGCTGCACCTCGCAAAGACCATCCTGTGTTTCTTACTATGTACAAGAGAATGTAACCTGCCCTTATAATACTTTCCTGTGTAGCATTATCCAAATAAAAAAATATATATGTATATAACAATCCACTGATATCTCGATACCTTTGAAGTTAATTTGTGCAATAGAAGAAACACAGTATCATGTAATAAACGTGTTCCATTAACAAACCTTTAAATTATTTGTTCTAACAAAATTATCTGAGATACTTGTTATCTCTTTGTACGTTCTGGTCAGTCAAGCTACACTGACCTGTTTTCAAAAAGGTAAAAGCTTACGTGTGTAAGTGTGAGTATTTGTGTATGCTTGTGTTTTACAAAGACAATATCAAATCATGAATAAACACTTGAGAATAGCATTGTCAACTTCCTGCACAGGTATCATGTAATCTTTCCCTACAAGATTCCAAACTCAAACGGATATTGGAGAAGCTTGAACCCTTCACTAACAAAGTAAATGAGAATGTAATGATTTCTTCTGTGAGTATTCCCTTAAACAATACTCCTGGCCATAGCCTATTTATTCTAGTTTGGTTTCTTCTTTCCTTGAGGTAGAAATTTACGCTGGATGGTGATGCATGCCCCAATCTTATGTGCCTCAATTTGGATGGCAGAAACACTCACTCTGTTCCTTCCTTCACACAGAAATCAACTGTTAAACTGCACAAGGGAGACAGAAAGAATGAAGAAGAAAACAACAAATCATCTGGGAACCCAAACAGAGCCAAATTAACCACTTCTAAATTCACTACAAACTCCTACATAATATAATTCTTTACTATGTACAACTAAGCCCCTACAATCAGAAGCATTTGTTTTCATACAATTTGTAAAACTGATCAATACATATGAAAGCCTTCATAAAAAATGACATCTGATAAAACTTTTCATAACATTAATTCATAAATTCCTTCTATCACATACTCTGTAGCTACTTGTCAATGGAAACCTATGTTGCCTGTTTATTCCATTGCATTCTCTAACTTATGCTTTTAGCACTGAAGTCAAACTTCAATAACACTTTGAGAATGGTTTCAAGCTTTCAATGAAATGTGAGCCTATAGACTTTTAGAAACTCATCTATACAGTAACTTGAAATTTCTGTAAACACTTCTAACTTCATCTGACTGTTTCAATGACACTTTTGTGAGTTACAGTACATGAAATGTGGAACATACATATACATATACATACAAATGTACATACATAAATGATGCATATATACAGGCTTATACACGAATCAAAATGTAAGAATGAAAGAATAAACTGATGTTAAGAGACATTGGCAGAAAAAATAGTTTCTTTTATCAATGAAAAAGAATCTTAAGTCATCTATAATTCATTTATTTTATTTTATTTTATTTATAGTAATTACTATCATAATTATTAACAGTGTAAATTATTTTTATGTACAATTTGAAAAGTGACAAGACTGTCAATCTCTCTTTAAATTATTATTCTTAATCTTACATGAAATTTATATAATCATTTATCTATTTATGAATGTATTTAGATATTCTCTTTTATTCACTCCATTTTCTTCATACTCACATTCCTTCTCCTCCTCCTCCCTTCCCTCCTTCAAGCTCTCTGCAAGATCTCCTGAATCCTCCAACCTTGTCTCTCCCTTCGACCACAGTTTCACCCAACCATATAATTATGCACTGAGTTCTTTCAAGCAATCTACTGGCCAATATTATTTTGCAAAGACGCTTAGAGTGCAGGCTCTGTGATTAACAAAGAGACTAGATCAGAGAGCGAGCAAAAAGATAAAATGAAAAAATATGAAAAGGGGTTCACTGGTTTGATGGGTTGGCGCAGGTTAGGCGACTTCCTCGTTATTCAAAGCATGTGAGATTCCTGTTTAAAGACACGCTGGCTCTACAAATGGACTATAGGGAAGGAAGACTACTGTGGCAGAAAGGAGAGGAAGTCGCAATTCCAAGATATGTATTTAAGACCCAGTAAAGGTTTCTGTGGAGGGAGAGCCACAAGAGAGAAGGCAGACGAGATATGAAAAGAAATAAGAGATCTGAATTTGTACAGTTGTGGTATTAAAGAAAAGAAAGGAAAAAAGGAAGAAAGAAAGAAAGAAAGAAAGAAAAAAAGGGTCAAAAGTACTAAAAGGAGTGTGTCAATCTGCCTGCAACATCAGGCAAACAGAGAGAAAAAAGATGCTACGAGTTTGTTCAAGAGCCGGTAAACAATACCTGCGAACAAGACCAACAAAAAAATAAGATGCAAAAGATAACCAGTTTGACCTGGTCTCCGCAAGATACATACAGATATGAATGGGGGAAAACAAGATCATATGTACTAACAAAAGGGTGATTGCATGTATAAATCAAGTCATACATACACACACTTATTCACATATGTACCTCATGTTTACGTATATGCATGGATTACATGAGAGGGTGACTGTGGGATGGACTCTAAGAAGCAGTGATGAATTACATACAGAATGTATCTCCCTTCTCAAATACACCTTAATATGTTTAATATAAGCTAATGATTTATTTTTTGACATGCATATTCTTAGTTTACTCTACATGTTCACAGCTCTCAACTGGAGAACATCCAAGCCTCAAGTCTTAGTCTATGAGCACTGAATGCCAACTCCGCGAGGGCCACTGGAAAAAACTTTAAAATTACGGGATAAAATGGTACTATCGAGCACTATTTGGAGGCTCTTTGGCTAGTGTCTCGGACTCTGCATCAGATGCATATAGTGTTTCCTGCATCCACGCCACTATTTACACGTTACCAAATCATATCAGATATATAATAATTGTATCTGCTAATCCACACTTTCTTTTTGTTTAGTTTTCTCCTCCTTTTTCTATTTTATTTTCTTTGTTTGCTTAACCTAGTATAGTCTTTTCCAACTTGTGTCACTCATACTCAGTCCATCATTGCTTTTAGTCTTGTTCTTAATGCATAGTTACTAGAAGTCACTTCCTTTACAGCAAGTGAAGAATCATTTGGGATATTCTTGGTCAAGTGTTAATACTTTATAACTGCACTTGTGTCATGTTTTCTGTCGCATTTTTCACTGGGGGATTCACTGTTAACAGTTTTAGCAGATTTTCAAACACATCCTCTTGCTAAAACTTATGCATGACTTGTGTGGGGAGGGGGGAAAAGATAATAAAAAAGAAAAGAAAAAAAAAAAAAATAAATAATAATAATAAATAAATAAATAAAATAAAAATAAAAATGAATATGCCAACATAATAATAAAATGCAAAATAATAATAATGGTAACAATATCAAATAATAACCGAAGTGACAAAAACTTTACAGTGTGGACCTATTGTACTACTATCAAATACAAGTCTGTTGTCCGCAGAAAGGCGACACTTAGTCTGGTGGCAAATATGTCTCCAGTTTGTACTTCTCGCGAATGAAGGGCCGAACGTCGTCCTTGTCGACTAGGGACTCCAGGAAGGGCACTAGTTTCTGCAACTCTCTGTCCTCCTTGTCCACAAACCAGCTCTCGATGGGTATTCCATTGTTGATCTGGAAAGTACATATTTGTTTTTATTAATTGCAAAGAAATAGAGGGTATAGGGGGAGGGGGCAAGAGACAATACTTAGGAAATGGCAGAAGGGAGAGAGGAAGAGAGAGGGAGGGAGGGAGGGAGGGAAGGGAAGAGAGAGAGAAATGTGTATGTGTAGGGGGTGAAGAAATGATTTAGCAAGATGGAAAAGGGCAGAAAAGGTAGATGGAAGGGCTGGATGACAAAAAGGAAGAAATACAGAGGAAAATATGGAAAGACAATTTCAGAGTTACTCTTAAATGAACATACAACATAAAAATTAACATTCTCCATGTATCACCAAGTACGAGACCTACATACCTGGTAACCGAATGCTTGCGGTGAGTTGTCTATAATTATGGTCTTGGAGAGGTCACGCCCCAAGATGGTGAGATCCTTCACATAGTTGCCCTGCACACAGACACAGTGCTCACGGAACAGCCGATACCTAAGAATAGGGACGATACATCATACTTTCTTTTTCTTTGTAAAAATTTTGCACAGAGCTCAATGAAAAATGGAATATATAGACATTAACCCTTTACCGAGCACACATCTTAATTACCTCATATACATACATGTATTTAAGTCATCATATATGGTTACTTGCCCGATAAAGGGTTAAGAGAAAAAGCAGAGATGAAGATTATGATTAAATCTACAAATCAGTATGAAATTGATCAGAAGTGAAATACAGGAAAGCAGGTGGTGAGGAGGAGGAGGAGGAAGAAGAAAAAAAGAAAAAGGAACTCGGTAGAAGAATTAATGAAGACTAATAGCACTCATTACTCCCAAGATACTTACTTGATCCACTTGCGCTGTGGGTCTAGCAAGTTCATGAGCTTGTCTGCATACACCTTCTTGCTGGCAGTGAACAGGATAACCTCATACAATTGTGACACGTGCTCTAGAAACTCTCTGAAGAAAGGTCGTGTGCGCACGAACACCTGGTAGTTGACATCCTGGAACACCACTGGGAAGCTGAGTGTTGCATCTTCAAGCTCTTGAAGGCTGCAGTGTACTAATGTTTCGTCCTGTCAAAATAGAGAAAGATGTTGGAGATGAGGGGCCCCTCAAATTTGTTATATTTTATGTAACTATCCCTATCCTCTTTCCATCTTACTCATGAGCATAGCTATATGTGTCATAGAAATCCTACCCTTCATGAGCAAGTGGACAGGCCGGCTATACACAGCAAATGCCAGGCCAGAAAGGCTAGACAGATGCCACTTGTAGTCAGAATGAATAATACATAGAATATATAAAATCACAATGTCATAACCCCAAAAAGGTAGGTCTGTTCAGAGCTTCTTATGTGCAAAGGATGGGGGAAAAGCAATGCCCAGTACAATACAGGACAGTGATGGGAAAATCAGCTAATAAAATAACATTTACAATTTCCTAAACTGTCCTAAAAGGTGAGAAAGAGGATAGAGACTCTAAACTGTAATACCAAATGAAAAAAAATTATGATAAATAGCAAAACGACGTCTGCTCCTTTTGCCCTTGGAAAAAAATAAATCCAAAAAATAGGTATCATCATTCATCATCTTATAAAGGTTAAATACTAGGGGAAAATTACAAAATGCAGAAGGAAGAGAGGGTGAAGAGGAACTCGGGAGTAGACAGAAAAGAAGTGACGGAAAATCACAACAAAAAGGTTCAATACAAACCAGATCTAAGACAAGGGTAAACTCTGGTGAGCTTCGTGTTTTCAGAGGCAACGCTGGATTTCTGGCACGCATCTCTGGGGTGAGAGGAGGCAGGTGTTTGATGAAGAAGTATGGGTCGAACGCCTCCCATTCCTCGTACCCTTCATCGCAGGAGGTCTCGTACGCCCCTCCAGCCTGTAATTTGGTGTTTTAACTTACATATTCATCAACACTGGATGTATACAGGACCTGGGATACTCAAGTCAAATAAAAATTTATCTTCATTGCTTACATTTTCCCAAGTTTCATTCATAATGAAGAAAACAACAGGCTAAAAAAAAAAAAAAAAAGAAGAAAATTAGAAATGACAATACCTCATAATTTTCCTTGTTTTCCTGCACTGCACACTGTGAGACTTGCGCAATCATCATGTCTGCCTCCTCGGGATCAAGACCTGTAATTTGAGATACAAACACTAAAAAATTATGGAAAAAAAAAAATATATATATATATTGCTTTAAATTACAGAAAGAAATATGGAAGTAGGAAGAAAGACTTTTGGAAAGTTGATCTATTAATCCTTGTGAAACTTGCTCCAAAAATAATAAGTCTTGGACAGGGTTGTCCTCACTTTCCCAAAATTACAATTCAACAGTAATTCCATAAATTTGACTTCTAAACATAAAATCCAAACACATGACACATGACCTATTATTCTTCTTTTCCTTGTTACCCTATGCTGATTTTCTAAAATGAAATAAAATACTATTGTTAATTATCTATACTGAGAAATCAAATGTAGGTAGTATACACTTTCTAGTTTTAAACCTGATCATATCTAGGATGTGACATTTATGTAAAATGGCACGAGACATTTGCCTGTTTGTGTTGAATTTCTATCCTCAGAACCCCAAAGCCTTACCTTGAGGAGAATCTGGTGTTGGGGGATCGAGGATGTGCGGAATATCGAGCTGGATCCGCGTGGAGAGCGGAGTGAGCTCGGAGCCCCGCGAGGCATCCTGACAGAGCCGTCCCTCTAGGCTGGCCTTGTCCTCCTCTTCCTCCAACTCCTCCTGGACACGCTCGATTGGGTAGGCATCCTCCACAGACAGAGCCGGGGAGAGTGATGGAGGTGCAGAGTCCACCGAATACACAGGCGAAAACAGGGATGTGTCCATTGCTGAATTCTTCATCTCTTGTACATCCTTCAACATCTGTGAGAATGAATGTTGTAATCAACCACTGAAAATATACTGTGCTTGATATTCATGAATGCTGAACATGAACAACGTATGCTATATCAAGCAAAAGTAATGTAACTTTACATGGGTCTTCTATGTATGAAATTGTAATTGGTGAAAATAAAAAACACTTTTTAACATATACTCTGTCTCACTGTAGTTGTACTCTCCAATTCTCTCAACACAGAAAAGGGATAGATTTATGAGAATCCAAGTTTGCATCAATATTTGCTTGCCAGCACATTATACTAATACTAATAATCATCGTCATTAATAATCATAAAAAATGCTGCTGTTGAGGATAAATAATAATAAATAATAAATAATAAATAATAAACAATAACAATAATAATGATAGTAATAATAATAAATTATTATTACTACAATAAAAAAATAATAACAATAAAATAAAAAAACCTATGTATTCACACCTCTACCTACCTTTGATGCTTCGGGGAGATGTGGGATGTGGTGATGACGGTTATGCGCACGTCTAGGGGAGTGAGGTTTATAGTCTGCTGGAGACTCGTTCTGCCGCCTGATAGGAACAAAAGAAAATAGAAAATACCTTCATGAACTCAGATTATCCTTATTCACAACCCAGGTTTCACATAAGAGCATACAAGTTTACATATATATCTCCATAAACTATGCTGCTGGAGGACTTACTTGCTAACTCTAAGGGGCCTCGGTTTGAGCAAATTCGTAGACACAATGTTGTTATCTGAATCAACGACTGGAGCTGCGGAACTCACGCTGCACTTGGAGTACTTGTTGGGATAGCGCCGGGCACGCAGGGGTGTGTGCTGAGATACCGTTATATTGACGACACTGTTGTACTGAGCAGGGGAGACCACTAGATTCTCATTTTGTTCCTGTGGTTGATACGAGCCAATAGAGAAAATTAGTATCATTAAAAGCACCCATGTGAAGTCATGCATTAGTAATTAAGCTATTAGCAATGTTTAACCAGAGTAATAATAATGATATTGCAGTACAACTGTCTTTGTTTTTCATCTTGCCATTGCTTAAGCTGTCTATAATATTAGCAAATAATGTTTAACTATTCTTACAAAATATGCTTGCACCAGAATTCAAAAGAAATTATTATAGAAAGGATATAGTTTAACCCTTTGGCCTAGGATGACATGAAATAAATGCCATGTCTTTTGAGACTTTAGTTTATTGTGTATATTCATAGTAATTAATCACCAAAGAGTCAATTACTAGTCATTCCTATCTCACCTGTTTACAATTCTTTTTTTTTTTTGTAGATAATAAAAAAAATATTATTAGGAGCCTTTGAAAAACTAAAAATCACAAATATCAAAGAATGGAGAAATCAGGTGAGGTCCAGTAGGGTCTACAAAGTTTTCTACAAAGATTCTTATGTGGTTGGGCACTTGTGGAAACTACAACAAAATGTACCCATAGCCAAAGGGTTAAACATAAGGGCTCTCTGCCCCCTGACCACCCATATTCACCTCAAAAGTGTGGCCAGACTTCTTGACCGCTCGGTGAGATCTCGGAACTCTAACCGGAGACTTGAGTGGCCGGCTGGCGGAGAGGGCTCTGGGTGGAGCGGGTGAGAGTGGCGTGCGACGGTGGTGGATCCTGCTGTTACCGCCTCCTCCTCCGCCCCCACCACCACTGTTGCTGCTGTTGCTGCTAACAGGGCTGCTGCGTTGGCGACGGCTAACACGGTAACGCAGGTTCATCCTCAAGTCTACCACATGCCTGTGGAAGGACAAAATGGCAAGTTAGTAAGGAAGGTCAATAATCAATGAGAAGTCCTTAATTACATTTCTTTTTACAGTGGATAAATGTATGGAAGGAATTCAAGTGCGAAAGAGAGAGAGAGAGAGAGAGAGAGAGAGAGAGAGAGAGAGAGAGAGAGAGAGAGAGAGAGAGAGAGAGAGAGAGAGAGAGAGAGAGAGAGAGAGAGAATAAAAGAATTATGGTGTATGAAATTCAGTATTGTGTGTGTGTGTGTGTGTGTGTGTGTGTGTGTGTGTGTGTGTGTGTGTGTGTGTGTGTGTGTGTGTGTGTGTGTGTGTGTGTGTGTCTGTTTCTATGCATGTGAGTGATTATATGTACATGTACATCTATATTTATTTGCATGTACATAAATACCTGTGTATAAATATAAATCTAATACACAGATATAGTTGAACTGGAATATTCTAATTAGTTAGATTTACTGAACACATGAACAAATGCTTTAGCCAAGTGATGGTCAGCCTTGTTCGATAATGAGGACATGTTTACTCCACACAAATGTGAAAGGTAAATTAATTGGCTACACTCATAAATACTGAGTATCAAGAGAGATCTGATTTGTACACCTTCCATGCCATTACATACATGAAAAACATACAAAAAATGCAAATGCAAACATACTACACACACACGTGCACACACTCACCCACCCACATATCACCCATTACAATTGCTGTAAGAATGGAGTAGAAAAAAACTAGCAAAAGTATCAAGAGTTAAATTTCTGAAAATAATCAAGAAGTATAATAAAATGTAGCTTTCAACCTTTCCAGATTCCAATAACATAAATTCTCAATCATACAGATCTTAAAGTAGGCAAGTGATGTTTTCCACAACTTTGGTTTTGTTTGAAACACACCTTGCTAAATTTCACTTATATATATTAGCCAAAATGAAACAAAATAAATATCCTATCAAACGAACTAACTCAGAGAACTGCTGCAAAGTGAGCAATGGAATAAAGGTTCATGTACCAAAGGCTGAAGTGGAAACCTGAAAGGATTTCAAGTCTTATATAACCCTTTTTTGCACTGAATTTCTATATATTTTTCCCAAACATTTACTAATCCCCACATTTCCTGTGGCAGGGAATAAAAGGGCACGTGGAAGCTATTCATGTACGAGAAACTGCTAATCATCCATTTACCTTGACTGAACAATGTGCTTTCAATTCACAACGAAGATATGACATGGACATTTAATTGTTGGGGCAGTGATTTGCAAGTAATGTAGCATACTTGTTGTGTGTCTCCACACGACCCTAAATGACAGGGTTAAGCTGAAGTTAACATTAGAAAGGCAATCAAATTATGACAATATAAACAATGTTACCATTCTAACTTCATCATCTGTTACATATTGCATATATATTCTTCTTTGCACATACATACACATGCACAATTATTTGCAACTGTTATTAAGCAATTACTTGTCTAGAACTTCAACCTTATAAGCTACCTTTTCACTAAATCATACAAAGGTAACACATGAACATTTGAACGGGTGAGAATGGTGGGCATACAAGTATAACTGTCTGAAAAACCATAGCCAGCCCTGGGACAATATCCCCATGATGCATCTGCCCTTAGGCTGTCCAATAGCAGTGCTTCTTTCAGGATTCAAAAATGACCACGGCCCTTGACCTAGGATGACCCACAAAATACATCCACCAGCCAGCCCTAGCCCCCTGGCCTGGGCCTGGCCTTACCATCCTTAAGCATCATCCCAGTGTACATTATCTTCTATGTTTATCAGTGTTCAAGTGTTACTTATTTTCCATAGAGCATGCAAAACTTCAAGACCAAAGTATTGCCATATAAATACACACATGTATACACATACAGTGAATAAAACACACACACACACACACAAAATAAAAACAAATATTTGTATGTGTATTTGCATTATGTATATATGCTTGAAAGTGCATATGCTTTCAAAAGTGCACGTACAAACAGCAAGTATGTATACATGTGCATGCAAGGATAAGTAACCCAAGTAATCTATACATATGTAAACAAATATGAGGACCTTTACGTGGCCATACCCCCCCCCCACTCCACAGTCGCCTTCAATACACCAGCGCAGTATACCTAAGAGTGGCTGCTGCTAGGGTTCACAGTAGTAATGCTACCGATATTTGGACATATGGCCGTTGGAGGCACTTGGACCCATAAAGGTGAACTAAGGACGGACAGCTACCTGGGTACACTGGATGGTGAGGGTACTGGAAATAAAGGAAAAAACAAGAAGAAAACTGGAAGCACAGGAGATGGGAGATGAGGAGGAGAGAGGGAGAAGGGAAGAGGAGAGGAGGGAGAGAGAGAAGGAGAGGAGAGAGGAGGGAGGAGAGAAGAGAGAGAGAGAGAGAGAGAGAGAGAGAGAGAGAGAGAGAGAGAGAGAGAGAGAGAGAGAGAGAGAGAGAGAGAGAGAGAGAGAGAGAGAGAAGAGAGAGAGAGAGAGAGAGAGAGAGAGAGAGAGAGAGGAGAGAGAGAGAGAGAGAGAGAGAGAGAGAGAGAAGGAAGAGAGAGAGAGAACGAGAGAGAAGAGTGAGAGAGAGAGAGAAGAGAGAGAGAGAGGGTGGGGGGGGGGGGGGGGGGAGAGGGAAGGGGGGGGGGGGGGGGGGAGATGGGGAAGGAGGGGAAGGAGGGAGGGAGAGGAGAAAGAGAGAAAGCAAGAAGGGGGGAGGGATGGGAGGAGAAAGAGAGAGGGAGAGGGAGAGGGAGAGGGAGAGGGAGAGGGAGAGGAGAGAGAGAGAGAGAGGGAGAGAGAGAGAGAGGAGAGAAGAGAGAGAAAAAAAGAGAGAGAGAAGAGAGAGAAGAGAGAGAGAGAGAGGAGAAGCGTAAAGCCAAGCAAGAGGATAAGAAACACTGAAACAACAGAACTAAAACCAAAGGAAAATTGGAGAGAGAGGAGGAGGAGCGGGGAGCCACATGAATGGGTAATCACAAGAGATGGCAATGCTCAGCTCAGTCCCATTCACGGTGAAGGTAAAGACATAAGACCATCCTCGTACTCTCCTTCCTGTTTATCATCACTCTTCTTTCGTGCTAATTGACATACGCATACACGGACACAAAGACACAAAGATAAGCATGCATGCACCCCCCTCCCTACCCTGTCTCCAAGACACAGATACACAGGAACATACATGCACAGACAAATACAAACACAAAGAAGATCACAAACAAACAAACGCAGACACAGAAAGGTACACATGAATAAATACAAATGTGCATATCATAACACATGAACTAATGAGCATGGAAATAATGCATCAATTTAGTATATAAGGTGTTTCTCTTCTTCAATCTACTTCTTTTCTTATGTAGTTCAAAACTTCCAAACATGGCAGGGAAAGTTTGTCTAGCATCTGGTGTTAACATTTTTCAGAAATAAACAAGGACAATCTGAAATCCTGCCAAAGCGATGAGAGAGAGAGAGAGAGAGAGAGAGAGAGAGAGAGAGAAGAGAGATAGAGAGAAGTAGATGAGAGAAGAGAGAGAGAGAGAGGATGCGCAAGAGGAGAGAATAGTCATCAAACTTAAGCAAGGTGTCCGCTTCCCTGGGATAGAGGCCAATAGAGCTGCATTCCTACGTTGACTAAATATCTGAGATTGCCGGACAATATCTGAGCTATGATTAGACAATTCTAAACAAGAATTATAGAGTTAGATACTAGAAACCCATATCTTAGAAGAAAATGTAGAAGATATGATCTGGCGATACAAGCATGTGTGAAATTAGCGTCTTATTTGTGCTACACTGGCCATTTATCATAAATACTCAAGTGAAAAAAGGATGATTAGAATATAGAAGAAGAAATGAGAATGAAATAAATAGAAAAAAGCATCCTAAAATAACATACGCAATAGAGTTAATTTTCTTCAGCGCCAACCACTCTCTTCTAAAGGAAGGGAAGTGTAGATGACTAACACTACTCAATTAACGACAAAATATGTGTAAAATGTAGCTGCCATTTAGCCGTGATCAACACAATGCGTATTTTCCAATAATGTTTCTAAAGTAACATCACCTAAAACTGAGTAAAAGTGCAGCTTCCTTCTTGAACTATTCACACATGAATAATTCCTCTACACCACTCCTCGGAAATCTTGGAGCTTTCGATAACAGGTAAACTCACTCCACATGTCAATCTCTCTCCCTTCTTCATCTTCTCTCATTCTAACAATAGTGGAAACAATAACACATGTGCACAAGCTTCTAACAGAATATCCCACAAAACCCAAGCAGAGGACGAGAGAGAGAGAGAGGAGAGAGAGAGAGGAGAGAGAGAGCAAGAGAGAGAGCAGAGCGAGAGAAAGCAGAAGCAGAGAAGAGGACGATACAGAAGAGAGAGAGGAAGGAGAGAAAAGAGAGACAAAGAGGGAGAGAGGAAAGAAAGAAAAACAGAGGGAGGA